GCGCGGCTCCCCGAGGAGGCCGGGCGCGACGCCGAGGACGAGCGCGCATCCTCTGGCCGTCCCCGGGACCAGAAGCCCACCCTACGCTGGGCCACTCCCGACTGCACTCATTTCCCAACCAGAGAGGCCGAGGCTCAAAATCACCCGGTGACAAGCTGCAAAGGGAAGGAAGATCCAAGCCTAGGTCTGCCCCATTTCAAAGCCCCCAGGAAGGCATGATCCTCTGCGACACCCGGGGAGCTGGGCCAGTAAGGCCAGGACACGCACTTCCTAGGCTTGGCCCAAGTTCTCCATCCCAGGAGTCCAGCGGGTTGGAATATAATGTCATTGGGGTTTAAGAACACACAGGACAGGGACCTAAAATTGACAGTTCTCCTCTTTACAGTCTCTGTTCCCCACAGGAACGACGCAGTTTAAAAAAGAGGCTGGATCATGGACCCTGGCTCAGGTGGAGTTCGAACCTCTCTGGGTAGGGTGTTTGGTGCAGAAGTTCCTGCGCCCAGGGGCTGGGGACACGTGTCTAAGACCTAAGCTCCTGCAGAAGTTGCTCCGTGTCCTTACTGGAAAGTTTGCAGAAGGCGGCCCTGCACGTCTGGTGCGCACCTTGTCCACATTTCACCTCACAGCGCCGGAAGTGCTCCCTGAAAGCTACAATTCTGTGTGAACAGGAAACGCTGTCCACTGGAACCATAAAGGAAGGTCTTTTTTGGTCCATTGGGACTGCTATATAGGCTGGGTGGCTAATAAACGTCAGAAATGCTGCTTCTCACTTTTGGAGGCTGGTGGTCCAAGATGAGGGTGCTGGGAGATTTGGTGTCTGGTGCCTCTCCCGGTTCACAGATGGCAGCTTTCTGTGTCCTCCCGAGGTGGAAGGGCACAAGCTCTCTGCCCCGGGGCCTTCTTTTTAAGAGCAAGACACTAATCCCATTCATGAAGCTGGGACACTTCTGACCCAATCACCTCCCCAAGGGCCCACCACCTAGTGCTCGCACCTTGAGAGGTAGGTTTTAATATATGAATTTGGAAGCAACAGAAACTTTTAGACCACAGCCAGTCACCTCCAAAACACAAGCTGGCCACTGAAGCATTGGCTACCTGGGAAATCCCACTGGGGGGTCTCCTGCTCCCAGTCCAAGAAGCCAAACAGGGGCATGTGTTACATCCACCCTGCCCTCGGGATGGAGCCAAGGCCTCATGCATGCTGGGCAAGCACCCAGGACCCACACATTCTGGCTTTGCACTCCTGGCTGAGTATCTTGAAGAGAGACCTGGTCAGAACACTGCTGCTCTCTGTCCAGGAAGAGAGGCTGGGACAGCTGTAGCCCAATCCAGGGCAGGCTGCAGAGCTTGTGGTTTCCGAGTTTGCTCTTTATGCCAAGAGCCCAGCATCACCCGGCCTGGCTGCACTCTCCCCTGAGAATGAAAGGTTTCATTCTGGCCAGTGTGACCATGTTTATTTTGTGTCTTATCCCACCTTGTGTTTATGCTATGAGCTCCCCTGGAAGACCCAGCACACTCTGCCAGTCTGGCTGTGTGCTGGGCACCAAAACTGAGTGGATGTGAGAAACCTTTTTTCTCCAGCCCTTCCACAGAGTCCTTACGCTGGGAGAGACTCCAGATTTCACAAGGGAAGAAACTGAAGTCAGGCTGGGAACTACGAGCAGGCCCAGGTATGAAAAGTAAGGTCTAAGGCTGAGCTGTGGGAAAAGCCAGCACTCTCCCCTTTCACTTACAGGAAGACTGTGCGACTTCTATGAAATCCAGAGTCAGGATTTCAGGGACCGTATTGGCAGAAACGTGGATGTTTCTGCTTCCTTCCTCTTTTTAGGTGCTTCTATGTCTCAATAGGGATTTTCATTGCTGTCGTTACTCATATTTGTTATTTTCATTTGTCACCCTTGCCGTCTGGGTGCCTGCTCTTCCATTCTCAGGCATCCATTCTGAATTAACCTTTCCATTGCAACTTCCTCTTCTCTCTGTCCACAGCTGCCCTGGGTCTGCAGTCCCCAAGCAGATCCTGTGTGTCTGGAATCTGCCAAGACTGACAACCCTTAAAAATAAGATGGGAGCACTACATTTCAGACTCCCAAAACTCACCTTGGACCTAATAAAATGAGTCTGTCAGCTATTTTATTTCTTCTGTTTCCTCTCTAGTTTTCAAGAGAACATCCTCGATCACTGGTGGGTTGATTTGGTAAAGGGAACAGTTTCAAAGGTTTTGGGCAGGATCGACTGCCACCTCCTGGATTTGCTGCTCTGAAACACTCATGTTCTTTGTGTAAAGCAGGAATGCAAAACAAGAGAAGACTGCTGTAAAAATTTGTGTTTAAAACTAGACCAGAGGGCCAGGGATTTAGCTCAGTGGTTCTGGTGACTGCCTCACAAGCACAGGGACCAGAGTTCAATCCCCGGTACCAAAAAAAAAAAAAAAAAAAAAAAAAAAAAAAAAAAAAAAAGAAAGAAAGAAAGAAAGAAAGAAAGAAAAAAAAAAGTAAAACCATACCAGAGGCCAGGTGCTTGTAATCCCAGTACTTGAAAGGCTGAGGCAGGAGGAGCGGTGCACATTAGAGGTCAACCTGGCCTACATAGTGAATTCAAGGCCAGCCTCTAGCCTCAACTACTTGCTGTCAGCTTCCTCGCTTGCTGCTTCTCTCCTTTTATCTCCTTTATCTGGCATCTATCTGAGTCCCTGAATGCCATCATTCCCCACAAAACACCTATAAAGGACCTCGGGACAAAGCCCAGCATATTACCCTGACCAGGATAAAAAGGGTGGGGGTTATTCAGCAGAAGAGTAGTGAGTTCATTACACAAATGTCTGTTGAGTGCCCAGTCCAGACCAGGCCTAGACCAGGCACTTCATTCTGCTTCCGTGTTTTATCTGGAGCTTTCACCAACAAACTGTGTAGGGCTGCATATTGAGGGGTCTGTCTCCTTGCTATTATGTCTGGACAGCCAGAAGAAACTGCTCTCCTACAAGAAAACCATTTCTAATTTTGTAGATGAAAGCTGTAGAAACAGATTCCTTTGGGCCATGATTAAAGACCAAACCAGTTAATATCTGCCACAGGAGGAGACTTTGGGAATTCACACTTGCCATCCACACTGAAGTCTAAATTCCAGGGGCGGGGTGATGAGTGCAGTCAAGAACATATAGCCTGTAGCCGGGGTGGTGGTGCATGCCTGCAGTTCCAGGACTCTGCAAGGTTGAGGTAGAAAGATCACAAGTTTAGCAAAGCTTGGGCAACATAGTGACACCCCGTCTCAAATTTTAAAAAAAAAGAAAAAAACCAAACACACAACCCTTCCCTATATACCGCCAATGTGGCCTTGCAACTCTATTCTTTGAAGGCCCCAATTTCCTCACTTATATAATGGGAATAAAATATCAGAATTATCATGCTATGTCTAAGTAATAAAATGCCTAATGATGTTTAGCATAAGTAAGTACTCCGTTAAGGGAACACTATTGTACTGTGATGGTCCTCTATGCATAGTATAAACCGGAAGCCATCATTTCTTGAGTAGCTACCAAAGGCCCATCTCTCTGCTAAGCATACACAGTACACGTTTTCTCAGCCTCCTGGTAACCCACTGGTAGGACCCTGTCTTAGTTACTTTTCTTATTGCTGTGACAAAATGCCCAACACCCAAAGTAAAGGAGGGAAGGTTTATTTAGCTCACAGTTTGTACAGGTTTCAGTCCATAGTTGGCTGGCTCTAAGGCAGAGGGACAACAGTTCATGGCGGACCAAAGGCAGTAAGGCAATACGGGAACTTAACAGCATCTTTCTGCCCCTTTTATCTTATCCAAAGGGCACGCACACATCCTTAATTCTAGCACTCCTGAGCTAGTACTGCACAATTAGTCAATTCCATCATCACAAACCACCTCTGAAAAAGTCCCACCTCACTCGCATGAGGCTTTAAAGGGTCACCTAAACACAGGCCATAACAGGTCTCATTCTTACTCCTATTTTATAGACTGGAAAACTGACAGAGTGTTTCAGTAAGCCATCCCCAAAGTCAGACTACATTTTTGAATAAATGGTTAAAAAAAAGGGACCCTGGATAGAGGTGGAAGTGAACACTATGTGCTTATTTTATAGCTTTCATGTAAGTCTAAATTAATCTTTAAATAAATGCTTGTGTATAATTTGATATTATCTCAGTAATATTTGAGAAAATTTCCATTTAATCTGTCAAACTTATTGCTATAAAATAGTATTGTCTGTCTTTTTAAATGTCTGCAGTCTGTAGTGATAACTATTTTATTCCTGATATCAAAGATTTATGAGTTCTATTTTTTTTTTTTACTTTCTATTTTATGTTGAATTTATTCCTGTAGAGTATGTTTTTGTTTCTTCAGGTTCTTTTTCTGCTATGTAACCTTCTAAGATATCTAACTATATAGATATATATTTTAATGGAGTCTTGCTATGTAGTTCAGGCTGGCCTTGAACTTGTGGGGATCCTCTTTCTCAGCCTCGTTAGTGCTACGATAACATAGATGCACCACTATGCCTGGTTTATTTGTTCCTTTTTAAAAGGATTATCTCAAGGGTTAGGGACAGCTCATGTATAGATTAATCTGGCCACAAGCTCTAAGTGCAGTGGTGCAGCTAGGGTGTTGGTTCAGTGACCAGGGAATGTGCATCTAA